TGGAGGTTGCTGTGAGCTGTGATGCAACAGCACTCTACCCAGGGTGACAACTTGAGCCTCTGTCTCAAAAAAAAAAAAAAAAAAAAAGAATTTTATCCAAAAAGCAACTATAGAATGCTAGTAAAAAGGAATAATCAGAATCAAAAAAGCTCCCAGAAGTTAAAAATATAATTATCAAAATAATCAAAAAGAATTTTGTAGTAATAGTTTTGAGAAGACTAAAGATCAGTGCAACAATACAAAAAAATGGGGGAAATTTTCTTTAATACTAAGAGGGAGCCAGGATAAGAACATAAGAACAAATCCACAAGGTCTGAGATCTATTTAGTTGGAGTTGAAGAAATTTCTAACAGAGACAATAGAAGAAATATTCAATGGAATAAAATTCCCACCACTGAAGGCCCAAGTTCCAGAGTAAACTGACCCACAGAGAAAAATTTTAGTAGCTTCCAGAAAGGGGGAGAAATGATCTCTATAAAAGTACAAAAATCAAACAGATATCAGACTTCTCTTTAGAAAATAATACAACAATGACTTCTGACCCAAAGGAAAATTATCTCGAACTTAGAAATATATATCCAACTAGTAGAGTGAATACAGCCATTGAGAAACATGCAAGAGCTCTTAAAAAGTTTGCTACTTACGGTACCATGTAAAAAAGAATCTTTCACAATACAAAAAAAGGAATACAGGAAAAAGGGGAACCTGCATATACAATTTTTTCCAGTAAAGGAAGATGGTAGATATTAAAAAATTATTGGATCTTGAGGCTTGGGTTGGAATAAAATGGGTATATTTCTGCCTCCCTGTAAGGAGGTCATACTGCTTAGTCCTCAGCAAATATTCATATCATAGTATTATTTGTGTATTCTCAGAGGGTTTACATTTTTATAATTTAATGTACAGAAGCGGCACAGAAGGTTCAATTATAATAACAGCACAGAAAGCAAATGTTACTAACCTTTAAATAACAGTAAAAGTCAATAGAAGGTAGTGATGGAAGGGAGAGTGAGGATGGAGAATATGTAAGCATGCTAAACTCCTCATGAAAGACACGGACTTAGATCAGAGGCTTTCAAACATTATGGTTTCAGGAACCCTTCAAAAAGTAGGGAGGACACCTCTCCAAAACTACTTCTGTTTATGTGGGTTATGTATACTGATATTGGCCATATTTAGAAATTTTTTAAAAAATGTAAATAGCTATGTTAAACTCACAATAAACTTACAAGTTGACATAAGAAACAAATTTTTATGAAAAACTATTATTTCTGAAACAAAACATGATTAAGTGAAAGAAGAGCACTGTACTACATTTTTGTAAAACTCTTTAGTGTCTAGCTTAAAAGAAGGCTACTGAATTATCATATCTGCATCTGCATTCAATCTGCTGCAATATTCTGTTCCGGTTAAAGTGTATGAAAGAAATCCTGCCACCCAGTATGCATCTGGCAAAAATGGACATGGCAAATCCCTGTCAGGGTTTCAGAGACTCTCAGAGGTCCTTGAACTATGACAATTTTGAGAATCAACTACTTTAGAGAAAGAACCTCAGTCTAAACATAAACTGAAAAATAAAATTATAAAAATATTTAGAGCTATAATGATAGTACCAACGAGAATAGACACCAAAAAATCCCAAAGAAGTTAAAAATGAGTTTACGTCTGGAGAGTTGCTTTTGGAAAATGAATGAAAACAGGACTACCTTCTCATTTTACAGCTTTCTTCAAATTATACTCTAGTATTTCTACTTATCTGTAGTTAATAGTTTAAAATTTTTTAAATTTCTTTAAAAATTTAAAGGGTAACCTTAATCAGTGGGTGACTATATCCCTGTAAGACTGCACTGAATATTCCTCCTCTTGTCCCCAAGCATTTCTAAACTATACTTACCACTACACTGTAACTGACCATTTACCTATTTCACCAAAAAGGTCTTCAATTTCTGACGTAGACAATAATGTATTCTATTGGTTATTGTTTCCCCAATGCCTAATAGCAGAGCAGGTACTCAACAAATTATTGAGTGACTTAATTGGCTGGTAGAAAGTCCATGAAATGAGGCCAAGGAATTCAATATTTACTAGAATTTTTTTTTTTAGTTAATACACACATACACACCCCAAGTTTATAATCTAATTGAGAAATGACATTATGATTCTTATTTTTGTTTTTCTTTACAACATAACTGAAACACAAGGGAGGAAAAGTTGGGCTCTTTCATGATGAACAGAAAGTAAGAGATTAGATACTAAAATACATTGCTATAGGTTTCTTTAATCTACTAGATTTAGTATGATGTGTACTATAAAAACATGATACAATAAATGTATTTATACTTCATTACATTAGTTTTGTTTTTCTAATGAGTATTTACTACTTTTGTTTCATTTAGTCCATCAGGAAGAATACATTAAGTTCGTTAATGACAACATGATATTCACATTTTGGTCAAGTAACAAATTTTCACCCATTTTGCCATATTACTTCATCTAATATGTCTACAAAATCCTTTGGGTATATTCTCCTTTCAGATCATAACTAAGCCATTAGTTTTTCCAAAACTATAGTCTTTAATGTTACCCTTTTACATTTCTTTTCTTTTCTTTTCTTTTTTTGAGACAGAGTGTCACTATATCATCCTTGGTAGAGTGCAGTGACATCACAGCTCACAGCAACCTCAAACTCTTGGGCTTGAACGATTCTCTTGGCTCAGCCTCTCCAGTAGCTGGGACTACAGGCACCGGCCACAACGTCCGGCTATTTTTTGTTGCAGTTGTCATTGTTGTTGTTTAGCTGGGTTCAAACCCACTAGCCTCGGTGTATGTGGCTGGTGCCCTAACCACTGTACTACAGGCGCCAAGCCCCTTTTACATTATTTTTAAGATGAATATACTTACTAATAAAACTTACTATACTAAAAATACTACGAAATATTATTGTCCAAGCACACTGTAGAAAACGAAACTAATTTTAGCTATTTTAAGTACATGTTACTATTTCATTTTTATACAACTAAGATTGTATGACAATCTTATGATAAACAAGATTTAAAAAAATATAACAAAGAGATTTTACCTTTAGTACTGAAGTCATGAACACAGAGAGGCCCATTAGAATAAAAATCATTAGCCCTGTAACCCGCTGTTCACGAATTCCCAAAAACTTGGGTTGTTCCCCTGGAGCAGAACATTCAGATTCAACTTTCAAGCTGTTGACATGACTTATTGACAACACTGTTGCAGCCACAAACCATGGAAGTCCCATGACAGAGCAAACTCCCAACATAACACCAACCATGAGCAAATCAAGGTGATAGCCAGCTCCTTTCTGAAAAGGGAAAGCAACGTGCATATTTGTAAGTCTAAAGAGTTCTTTCAGTTTAAAATTCTTTATTAATTATAAAGAGAGAAGAAACTACTATTCATCTTACATCTTTTAATGTTCAAATCATTTTGAAAATACCTTAAACCCTTTAAGAAATCACAAAGTTTCAGACAAAATTTTAAAATCACCTTCAATTTGTGCTCCTTTCTGTTGATGATTACAGCTGTAATTTGTTGATCCATGAAGATGAGAATGGTACAAAGCAGAGCAGGAATAGCAGCTATTAGTAAGGTCCACCAAGGGTTGTCTCCCAATGGGCTTATGATCCAGCCCCTATTTGGATCAGTAGGCTGTCAAAAAAAAATAAAATAATAAAGAAAAAAGTTTCCTTCCTCTAGTGCACAGCATGGCCAAGGTCTATTCCAAGAAATGCCAATGGACAGAATTGGGGCGTGTACAGTGAATTATTTTCAATGACAGTCACAGAGATTCTTCCCTTGCCTACAAGTATATATGCCTAGGCATGTGACTTAGCCACTCTTTCCATCTAGAAGTGGAGTCTATTTCCTTTCCCTTGTAACATGGAATGACCTTTTGACTTACTTTAACTCACAACATAAGGCCAAAGTAACACTGTGTGATTTCCAAGTCTACTTCAAGAGACCTTGCAACTTCTTCTTTAACCTTCTTGGAACCCTAAGATTATTACGCTGTTGAGTAAGCCTAGATAAGCTTTCTTTTTTTTTTTTTTTTTTTTAAGACAGAGCCTCAAGCTGTCCCCTTGGGTAGAGTGCCGAGGCATCACAGCTCACAGCAACCTCCAACTCCTGGGCTCAAGCGAGTCTCCTGCCTCTGCCTCCCAAGTAGCTGGGACTACAGGTGCCCACCACAACGTCCAGCTACTTTTTGGTTGCAGCCATCATTGTTGTTGGGCAGGCCTGGGCTGGATTCGAACCTGCTACCTCAGGTATATGTGGCTGACACCCTAGCCACTTGTGCCACAGGCACCGAGCCTAGATAAGCTTTCTTAAGGATAATGTGGTGGACGGGATGGGAGAGTGGCAAGGCTCCTATCTCAGCTGCTGTTTCAACCCTCTGAGCTGAGGCTCCAGAGGTAAATGAGGTCATATTGCCCCCATCAAACCAATAGATGATTGCAGCCGCAGACCAAGCCCCTATGCTGGGACTAAGCCCAGTCCCAACTGCTATAGAATTATAAACAAATTAAGGTTGTTGTTCAAAGGCATTACATTCTGAAGAAATGTGTTAGCAGGATTAAATAAGCAAACCAGAATGTCATTTCAATGTGTTCTTATATACTTTGTACAAGGTGAAATCAATCTGCCTACTAGATCAACTCCTAAACCAAACTGCTTTAAAGACCCTGAGACTTTGACAGAGTCAGTACAAATCAGAATTAGCATATAGAAAACTATTTTTCCCAGGCAACTACTAAAAAAAAAAATCTGTTTTGTATCCCTAAGCAACAAATAGCCACTGGTTTATTCCTTACCTCAAATTTTTCAGGAACATGAAGTTTAGGAGATGGAACTCCTACAAGGTAGTCAATTGCAACCATTATTACTATTGTGAGAAATACAGCAAAGTCACTGATTGTTGATCGCACCTATGTTAAAGGAAATATGTTAATATAAACAGAGATATATTGTGTCCTTTCAAAATAATTCATCTTTCACAGATAATATGTCACTAAAAAGTATGAATGGGGATTTTCATTAGTGACAATGTTATTAATTACATACATTTATGTCTAATTCTTTCCCAGAAGATAAAACATTTCACAACTAATCTACTCATTCTCACAATACTATCATCTTCCTACTGTGCTCTCTGATATGTAATAACTATTTTATACTATGAACAATTTTCCTCAAACAATATGTTATTGTTTTGAAGTAAAACAAGGAAATAAAAATTAAAGACATAAATATTACCAGAATTTTAAAATTAGATCCCAGTTACCTTGGTAGGAAAATAACGCTTGGTCTTAAATTGCTTGAGGAATGAAGACAGGAAAAATGTTGTAAAAAACAAGATGACACACCAAAAGAGAACATCTGGAATATAAGGTCCATGAAGACCACAAGCTGATCCTACAAATACACCATGAAATGTTTTACATTCCTAGAAAAAAGGAGAGAGAGAAAAGAAAAAAAGAGAGATGAAAGAGATTCTTAAATATCAAACAGATTGATATACTTCACTGACTCTAAGATGCAACTGATTATAAAACACGTGGTTAATTTGTTTCATTTTCAAAAAAAAAAAATCACCAAATTCAGTATACCATTAATTAATTGTAAGACACATCCTGAGTTCAGAGATATTATAATCTAAAAAATAAACACATTTCTCAGTTCACTGGAATACGATATTCTGCCAACTTTAATTCAGTGATACAGCATGATATTACACAACTATAGAAATCTATTGACTTGATAACTGAAAAGGAACCAGAGAGTAACAAAGACGCATGCCATAAAATCCTTTTCTAACTCATACTCTAATGTGGCTTATTTTAACAAAACAAGTCAGGAATACCAAAAGAAAAATAGCTAAATGTTTCATTATCTTCAATATCCATGTACTGATGGATCATGGAGATAAAAGCTATACCTATCAAAAAACAAAACAAAACAGAACAAAACCCACATGCCCTTTCTGTTTGTAAAGAAAACATTCTGAAAAGACCTATTCAGAGCTGTCCAAGCTTTTCTTTTTTCCTCTGCTGCACGTTGGAAGAAAAAGAGTTGTTTGGGGCCACACATTAAATACACAACACTAGTGAAAGCAGACTGGGGGGAGAGTTAGGTGCCTACACGCTTTACAGGATATCTGATACCACAGACAAGCAAAAAAGTCCTAACAAAATCAGCCTGTGGCCCGCAGGCTGCAAGCCAGATACCCCTCATTACATATACCCCTAATAATATGAAGACATCCTACGTATCATGAAATAAATTATTTTTAACAAATTACTTTTATTTGAACAACTCTATTAACTATGCTTCTTACATACCAATAAATGACTTTTAAAATATAAAATAGTAAAGCATGAATCTAACTCAAATTACTGATTTTTATTGCTTTAAATTAGCACTGTCCAATAGACATACCACTGTCCATTGTGGTAGAAATGTCATATCTTCACCAGCCAATACAGAAGCCAGCAGTCACATAAGTTATTGAGAGCCTGATATGTAGATAGTTCACTGAGAAACTAAACTTTTAATTACTCATATTTAAGTTTCATTTTAATACGCACATATAGCTAATGGATACTATACTAGATAGCACAGCCTTAAATTAACACTGGGATAAAATTTTAGTTACCTTTAAATTATACAGTTAGGGGCTAAATATCACCTTTAGTAAGAAAGGAATAACCTACAGCTGCTTATACAACTGTTATACAGTTGTTATACAGCTGCTTATACAAAATATAGCTGTTTCTTATATAACATGAAAAGCACCAGAGTGCTTGCTTCAGAGCTCATATACTAAACAGCACCAGAGAAGCTCAATGCATCTGAATTTTACTTTGGAATGCTAGCATCACTGTATATCCCAACCTTAGAAGTGTTCAAAACGAATATTCTAGGAATAAAAGAAAATATTCTAGGGACAAAATACAAAGCATCTGTAGTAGTATTCAGTGCACAATAAGTGCTCATTGCATTTTTTTTTTTCATTTATCATCACTTAGCGCTTGAGTCAGACTTATCTCTAGGAGCTAGACATGGTTCACTTAAAACATTCAAAATATAACCACAGCACACATGATCCTCTAAATAAGCTGTCCACAAAGGAGATGAACTGATAAAAAGCAAGCAGGACAAGTGGACACAAAACGTGATACATATAATGTCTAGAATATGGAACCACAGTTACGGTAAATATTTCCTTCAAATTTATCCATTTAGGTAGAATTTGAAACTAGAAGTATATGTACATCTTTCTAATAATTATATCTTGGAAGTCAAATATAGTCTACCTTTATCTCTTTAACCAGCTTCATTCTTTCAGCCTATACTTTTTAGGGCATGATACAGTAAAACAATTGGTAACTACTATCTGGTCACAGCACTACATTTTGAAAACATACTACATATTCATTGATCTAGAAAAAAAGTATGTCTAATCAGAAAAGTCTAAACGAATCAGAATAATATGTATTTAAGAAACTCTTTATTGCATAATATACTCACAGAAACAGTGAGATTTCCCCAGGAAATACTGTGTGCTGTTATATTCTCTTTATTCCACAGCTCTAGCGTTTCATTGCTAGGGTTAGGAGGCTCAGTACACACACATCTGAGAAATTAGAGTAGGATAAATTTTTAAGGCTCCTGGATTTCATGTTTACATTATGCTAAATCAATTACACAATGTGGCAGCTTTTAAATTCTCAACCTTTTTACCATGTTGCAAAACACAGAGACTAGAAAGTGAAAATACATCAGAAACAACAGAATGGAATATGGTTTGAATTACATAAATAAAATCAAACTAATACAAATATCAACTAAACGTTTACTTAATGAAACTAGTAAAATACACCCTTGGAGGGGCACTATTTTCTTTAAAACTCTGAGAAGATACCACCACGTTTAGCAACATTACACTCTCCTAACTCTATTTAACCTCCATAGCAATTACTGCTGCCTCTGCCCACCCATCACACGTGGGGACTCACAGTAAATTATACTATTAATTCTTTCTTCCTTTTTATTTGTGAGACAGAGTCTCACTACTCTCCTCAGTAGAGTGCAGTGGTATCAGAACTCACAGCAACCTCAAACTCTTACGCTCAAGTGACCCTCTTGCCTTAGCTTTCCTAGTAGCTGTAACTATAGCAACCTCAATAATGTCTGGCTATTTTTAGAGATGGCGCCTCACTCTTAACTCAGGCTTGTCTTGAATTCCTAAGCTTAATCAATCTATTGGCCTCGGCCCACTAATAATTTTTTGTACAATTGCTACCTAGTAGTGCTCCCTCTTTATTGGTCTTGAGACTTACTCTTAAAAAAATAAATAGGCTAAGGCACCTGCCACATACACCAGAGCTCGTGGGTTCTAGCCCCCCAAATCTAGCCCAGCCCGCCAAACAACAATGACAACTACAACCAAAAAATAGCTAGGTGTTGTGGCAGGCACCTATAGTCCCAGCTACTTGGGAGGCTGAGATAAGAATATCGCTTAAGCCCAAGAGTTTGAGGTTACTATGAGCTATGAGGCCACGGCACTCTACCCAGGGTGACAGAGTGAGACTCTATCTCAAATAAACACATGGGTTTTTTTTTTTTTTTATTAAGACAGTACTAGGAAAGTCTTAGGAAGTAGCGTGCCAGAGTGAGACTCTATCTCAAAATAAATAAATAAATAAATAAATAAACACACAAGTTTTTTTAATCAAGACAGTACAAGGAGAATCTTAGGAAGTCAGAGAGTTCAGTTCACACCCAGAATATTTCTGCTGCCTAAAAAAAGCAATACACAAAAACGTTCTTTATATTTAAAAATGGGGTGGGGTACCCTAAATAGTCCCAAATAAGATTATAAACTATTTGAGAAAAGGCAAGAAGATAGATTCTGGAGTCTGTCCAAGTAATATCATTAACTAGCTATATGACCTAAGACAAGCTTTAACCTCCAAGAGCCTCGATTTCTTCATACACAAAAGGGGCTATGATATGAATAATTAAGTACCATTAGAAATACAAATTATAAATTTATAATATAAATTAGGCAATAGTTCTAACACAGTTTCTGCAAGATCTCATAGAATGTTAGCTGAATTAATGCTATTCACATGTAATTGGTCACCAGGAAGAAAACATTGCCCTAATTGGCCAACACTAACTATAAAATTTATGCTTCATAAAGATCAAAGGAACAAAAGGCAGCGAAACAGAGAACGTTTCAAATTAAAGCAATTAAGAACAAAGGAGGTAGGACATTATATATTTAGAATCAAAGTGTCACTAACATTTTCCAATAGGTCAATGTCTTATAGGAATTTTCACATCCCTCTCTACGTCAGCCATCAAAGCTGCGGGCACATAAGTGACAGTAGCAGAGGAAAAAGGAAAATGATGACAAATGGAAGGAAGGGGGAGAGTATAGGTATTTAGGGCCCATAGAAACAGGAAAACTAAATCTGTATCCTTTACAGTCTTTTGGTAACCACATTTCTCAATGTAAGTTAATCAAATGCAATACTGCACTTACACAAGCATGACTGTTAAAGACAGCAAATATAGGAATCTACTGAAATGCATTCATATTTGCCAACCTTTTTATACCTATTAGATGTGACTTTTAAAGTCCTATTTTAGTCTAGAGTTTAAAATTATTTTCATTTCATACTCATCAACAAAGAAAATATTCCACTAAATGTCAAAGAGTATACTAAAATTCTACTAAAAAAATTTATTAAAAATTATTAACCTTTAAAAATTAATGACATGAAAAATGTGAAAAACATAAATTTTAAAACTATATCCTATATCCTAGTGTACATTCAGACTTTAGTTAAAGGATTTAAGATACAATTATAACTGCCCAATTCAAATATACTGTAGATTAGTTGTCCAGTAATCAGATTTAAATTAGCCAATCTAATTCAAAAAGACTAAAAACACACACATTTGAATGATTTCAGTTAACAAAAAATGACTGAATTTGATCAACTATATTTATGTCCATTGAATGCTTTACCAAATTACATCTGAAACAAACATGTCCAACTATCACATGCTAGCTGGGTAGTTACATCTAGATACAGTATCACGATGCAAGAAGTGCATTTTCTTAGGCTCTGACATCTCTGCAAAGACACATTTTAATATTAGGAGAAAACAGAAACACTTACGAGTAGCTGGTCAGTTCATCTAAGTTGTTGTGCATATTAAATGCATATATTTCACCTAAATGAAAGAGCTTCTCCAAAGCCTCATAGATGAATATGATACAAATGAGAGCTGCAAAAGCCTCCTCTGTAAATCGAGTAATATAACACACAAGGCTGCTTGCATCTGTTGCAACCAAAACAATGCACAAAAAAGAAGTCCACAGACCAATACTGGTTCTTAAAGACAGGTAAGAAAGGTGATAATCTCTGTTTAAAAAGAAAAAATGTGAACAAGATCAACATATGTATGTGGAGTATTATTTATACCCCACAATTTTTATAACAAGCAATTCAAACAGCATAAAAACATATAATTTCTAAAAAAGAGAGTGAACTACAGAATGACAAAATGACTACAGAAAACTCTGCTTCAACTGAAGACTAACTTCTTACTTACAGATCTGTTAGTTATTACATATAAAGGATTTGTAGAGAAAATTTACCATGTAATAAATATTTCAAAATTAGACCTCACTTTAGAAATCAGTTAGGAATTAATGATAGACTGTCTGTAAGAACAACTGTATCTGATTCTCTCTGAAGATGCAGAAGTCACACGCATCAATACGGTAAATAGAGCAATCATACCTACAGCTCCAACATCATTACCATCCCTACTACCATCTCCTTACCCACCATAATTTCTTATTTTAAATTTCAAATATGAAATTACTAGCAGAGTCTATACATCAGGTTATTGCATTCTCTTTCTGTTAGTCTCTGTAAGCATGCCAGATTAGAATCATTGTAAGTAGAGAATCAGAACAGAAGAGTTATATCAATCAAGTATTTGATAGCATGAAGTTAGTTCCAGGCTAAAATTGTGAACTCATTTATCTCACAAAGGAAACAGTATTGGCCATGATGAATTCAAAGTCTAACTATTCTAATACCCTATGTTCACTACCACAGAAAACAATCTTGCCAGTGGAAACTGACACTTCACTCTGATTGATTCAAGCCCCACTGTTAAACGTCAATGATTGGTAATGTTGGCATAGGCAATCTTACTTTCCTCATTTCCAAGTTATTAGGTTAGGAATGGTTTTATGGGCTAGGACAGGGCCAACCACATAGTAGCACCAAAATATTGAAGCTGTATGTATTTATCAGATCCTCTTTTTTAGCTATTAAATATATAGTAAAATTAACTAATAAACAAGATATAATTATAAATACATGCAAACACATGTGATGAGGAGAGAACTCTTACCTGCAGAATTTAAATAAAATTTTTTCAAACACTAGAACTGGACCTGTGCTCCCCAATATTGTCAGAGGTTGCCCAGCAAACAAAGAATAGGCAATCCCAGTTAATGATGCTCCAAAAAGAGACTCTATTGCACTCTGTTTAAGGAAAAAGAAATGAATAAAAGCAATACATCATAAACACATCTCTAACCTATTATGTGTATAATACACATAGGACATCTAGAAAATAAGAGTACTAATCAAGTAGTTATAAAGCAAAACACAACTGTGAGTCTTCAATTTAAACTTTAAATATGGAAAATTACAAATTCATTTTAAATCCATAGGAAAAAACTACTTTCTTTTGCATACTAAAAGTAAACATTTGAATTCAATTCAATACAGGTTGAGTATCCCTAATCCAACAATTCAAACTCCCAAAGTTTTCAAGCACAATGTGACACTCAAAGGAAATGCTCATTAGAGCATTTTGGATTTTGGATTATAGACGCTCAGCCAGTTTGTAAAATGCAAATATTCCAAAATCCTTTTAAAAAAAATCCAATATCCAAAACACTTCTTCTGGTCCCAAGCATTTCAGAGAAGGGATAATCAACCTTTGCAACAGGATGCAAGGAGCAAAGAGTAAACAGAAGAGACACACAAAAGGGCTCCAACTTTATCCACAGATGTTTTACTTCTTAAGTCTGCAGTCAGTACAAAAGGGTTATCTATTATTTTGAATACTGTTATATGTCTAAAATAGTATACTTTAAAAATACAAAATAATAAGTACTCGATATAGTGCTACAAAGTAAGAATCAAACAGGAAATAACATGAGGTCCTATCTTTTTCAAACTGATTTCTACAGGGCAATTTTCCCAATGTTTTAAAGAAATGAATACGAATGGCTTAATCAATTGATACCCAAACTGAAATACTCAACAAAATAAATGAGAAAAATCTCTCCTAAAGACCGAGAGAGTTAAATTCAAAGCTAGTACACTAACTCTGTACCACCACCACCATTATATTCTAACTGATCAAGTTATTAGATAGCAAGGCTGATGATGTACCATGAAACCTAGAAAAGGGGAAGGATAATAAAGTAAGGAAAGAAGGGGAAATAAAGTAAGGGAAGGAAAAGAAGCTCGTAACACACAGCCCTCCTGAAATGAGAGGCAGCGCAGCAGCAGAAGACAAGGGCGGCCAAACCCAGACTGGAAGAGAAGACTGGCTGTTACCTGGTGTGGAGTCATGGCCACACCTTCACCCTTTTAAACCTACGGTTTTTCGATTGTAAATGACAACTAAGGAGAGCTAGAAGATTGTCAGTGGTGTTTGCAAAAATACCTAGGAAGCACAGTGCCTGACTCAAGAAGAATGGCGGCAATGCTCATAAGCTTTAATAGCGGCTTCCAAAATCAAAATCACAAAATGACAGTACCCAGTGACAGTATAATTCAACTATCAGAATAAAAACAGGATCAAACCCACACGCAAATTTTGACTTTTGGCAACATAAAGAAGTGTCTGTATGAATGATACATTTGTAAACTGCATGGGATAAATTTGTTTTCTTGCCAATGGGAAAACAAGTTTATCCTAGGAGACACTATTAAGCCATCATAAAACTCTTCAATTAGAATATGCACACTTAAAAAACACATTGAGGCAGAGCTTAAGTAAAAGGAAAACAAAGTCTAACTAAATCAAGAGCCAGAAAAAAACCTGAGAAGAGAAGCCAGGAGAAAGCAAAATAAGAAAATCTTAACGCGGCAAATGGGCACAAAATGAAAACTTCCTGTCCCCAGCTTTGGGTTAAAATAGTAGATGTTGTCACAGGAAGACTTTCCTTTCACCCCAGCCCCTACTGCTGTATTTTACTACAAGCAAAAATTTCCCTTACCCCAGAGCTATTTTTTTCTAATTTTTGAAATTTTTGTTTATGTTTACTGTCAAACTGAAACCTGTTTTTCACTACAGAAAACACAGCCCCTAATTACACTGGCCTGCCTACTCACCCACACATTCAAAAATTTCCGTTTTACCCAAGAGAAGCCCTAACTTTCATTTCCCCTCACAAATGATATATATCTGTACCGCATTACTACTCTCCTACTCTACTAGGTCTTCAAACACTCCTTGCTAATCTTTCCTCCTCAAAACCTCTCGTTTGGTTTTCACAAAATTACATCACCCTGATTGCTCTTCTAGGTCTCTGTGTCTGCTTTGCTAGGTCATTTTCCTCCTCCATCCAATCCCTACATCTCGTCCTTCCTCCATTCCATAAACCTGGGCAATTTCCCACTTTTTCCCTCTCTGTCTCCTTTGTTAGCCTCATCTGTTCTCACTTTCAACCCTCACTTGTATATGAACAATTCTCAATCTTTACATGTCCTCTTTACCACTCCGTAAATGCTGGAACTCTACCCCCTAATATCTCCATTTCTCCTTGAAGTTCTAGGCAAGCATCTGAAAACACATCTCCATATCCTTTTCCTCCATAATATCCCTGAGCTTTCTCTATTTCTATCACTTCCACCCTACAGCCCATTTCTCTCTTCTATGTGGCAAAGCATACCATGGCATAGTCACTGTGCATATACTAATGCCCTGTTCTTCACGTGTCTATGCTCCTCCAGTCCTGCTGTACTACCACATTAACAGGATGAGATGGGAGGCAGTGAGTGACAGTCCATGAGCAGAGAGGTAGCACATCCATGATGGGAACAGATAAAACACATTGGCATGGGGACCAGCAAAGTTACATGCATACTTGGTGATAGCACATAAAGCCACTTGCTAAAAATATGTGTGTTTGATACGATAATTAGAGACTACACTAAAAAGACTCTAAATAATCAAAAACAGAGTTGCAAGAAAGCTTCAGTTGTCAGGTTTAATCTCATGTTCAGCTCATGAAACATTTTAATTGAGTAATTATCACTGCTTGTCATTAGGTAGTTTAACCTTTCATCTATAAAAAATGTATTTTCTATTAAAAATAATTACAATTAAGTAAAATACACTTAAGATCTTAAGAATTACAAACTATCTCATTTAAATGCCATTAAAATGTATATAAACAAAAAAAAATTGCCTTTTAAGATTTCACAAAGCACCAAAGCTTTACAGTATTACCACAAACAGAAAAACAGAAAAACTTTCATTTTAGTCGTATCAAAGGATGGACGCAACCTTCATTATATTTTATTTTTTCCAAATAAAAGATTTGGCTATTTTCATAGATTTAATAATAGCAAAATTAAAAGTAAATGCCCCTTCAAAAAGCTAGTATTTGCACATTATGTTCTATTCTTACCAAATAGTCTAGTCGAGGCCTACAAGCCAATAGTGATGCATTAATATTAAACATGGCTCTAACTAATCCTATGATACCTTACTGAAGTAACCCCATTGATAAATCCACCCACCCATGCCCCACCCAGAATCAGTTCAATTGGTGTCTTCACCCCCAATCCACCCAGCCTCCCCAAAGACAATGCAAGCCTTTTACTCAATTTATAAAACCATTCATCCAGCAAGCCAAGATAAACTTTTTTTGTTTGGTTTTACCTCAACTGTGCATCTTCTGTTCAAATGGCTTCCCCATGTTTTCCATAGCAATTACCTTGGGGGAAGTCTGCTTTGGGACAGGTTAATCGTGCTGTGGGTAGACTCTTCAAATAAAAGTATGAATAGTGAGACAAATGCATACAGACACTTGCCTCTGAAGAGCTAAGAGCCTGGCCACTACCAATCTTTGTACTCACTATTCTGCCTTCTGTAGCTTCTCCAAGCAGCCCTCCAAAAGTGATTACAGGAGACATACAGGCACAGTATAGGAAAAGAATCGAGGCCAGGCACTGCAGGCTTAATGCATCCTTGAAGTCACTCAAGAAAAAAGGTGCTTTCCTTTTGATGTCAAGTATCAAACCACCAAAAAGCCTAAATAGGTGAGATGAAACTCGTCAAACTGTACACTAGAGGATTCTAGCTAGTTCAAACTAAAACTATGGGGTACATAAAACTGCCAGTGCCTAGTGTTTTGTCAACAAAAATTAAAATCCTATTTAAATCATAATATAAATTATAGAAGATACACTCATTTAATCGAATCTACTGATGATAGAGGAAAGGTATATCTCATTAAGTTAAAAGAGACAAACATCTGTATTTTATGAACTAATTACTAAAAAAATGCAGGCAAATGATTTTATATGAGTAAATGTAATTTCGGACACAAATGTTAAGGAAATGTACAATAAAGTAAAGCCTAATGACCCCATTCATGAAAATGTGAACAAGCACTCTATTATCATCTACATTATAAATCTTAAATGCAACTCTCAAAAAATACCAGAAAGGCAATTAAAATCGATATATCCTTCAATATGAATACTGTATCCTATGCTTAAATGTATGAGTAGTGAATTAAATAATTTCAACAACTTTTAGAATTATTACTTCAAACATTTACGTATTTCTATCTAGGAAAAAAATATATACCCTAAAATCTATTTCAGTGTATTTAATTTACTACATACATAGTCAAACAAGTATATATATATAAATAAAACTAAGAAGTGCCAATTAGTAGATGAAAATCTATATTTGTACATCAAGACCATGTCGCTTCAACTTTTGTTAAAAATCAGGTTTTTGGATACATCTAACTTCAAAATATTCCAATAAAATATAAGCTCCAGAAGGAGTAGGGACTTTTCCTTGTTCACTGCCATATCTCCAGTGTCCACAACACAGCCTGGGACACGGCAGATACTCCAGTGAATCAGTAAGTCAGTAAAGCTTTCTGACTCATACAGTAAGAGAACTGTTCGAATCTCAACTGCAGGAAAATACCAAAAAATTAACCTTAAGCTTTCAAATGTTTTGGATATTTCAAGCTTTTCCATTCTAATTTTTCTTGGTTAATGCTGAAATAAATCCTAAACACGTGCTGACAGATGGAAGAAATTATTCTATAAATTATATGACAGCAAGGAGAATGAGCTTGCAATAAAAAAAAAAGGCGCCACTGAAAATATAAAAAAATGAATCTATGTCATTTAACCAATAACTGAGCACTTAAAAGATGGCTTAAAGATGCTCTCAAGTGACTATGAGATCAACGGGGGGCCTGACACGGTGCTTCTCAGTGACTAACCGTATTCCAGTTTGAAGTTTGAAAAAATAATAATAATAGCTAATAACAGAATCGCACTGTTGGCAAAACTTTCTCTATTATATTTACTAAGACTAATACATTTCACTAGTCAGTGAATGAATTGTGAACTTAAGCTTCTCTGAAGTCTACGTTCAGTATGCTAATTGTTTATTTTTCTCATAAACATCGTACCCTTCAGGCACGTCATCAAAATCCCCAATAGCGCACCTTAAGTCTTTTAAACAAAGATTTAATATTATCTAGTTGCACACTGACCACCAATGGACGTACAGTATCAACAGCCACATGCTCTTCGATAGTATGAAAATACTATAATATTTATCTACTTCTACAAATATTTACACCTGGCAACATTTCTACTCTTTATTCCAAAAATTAACTGGTTAATTTTTCTAAGTAGGTTTCCAGAGATCATTACAATGGTTTAGTCATGCTTATCCATCTAAAATTTTACCTTATTTCATGATATAAGAGTTTTAAATCTATGCACACACAGAAAAAAATCATCAGTTATAATTACTCTCTGTTCCCATAATTCTCTAACTTATGTGAAGAATTTTAATAGGACTCTACACCTTCTTCAAGAACTTTTGTATAAGTAATGGAAATTAATCTATAAACATGTGCTATATAATTGCAATATTCTGAACATATGGTCCACAGCTTGGTACATACTATTAAAATTATTTTTAGATGCATATAAATTTTTCATAAATAATACAGACTTTTTAAAATATGAAAAAAATCATTGTATAAAATTAAGTTCCAAATACTTGGAAAGAAGCAGAATATTTATGTCTTTTTCATTAAACCAACCCCTACCCCCCAAACATATCAGCATTGTACCCACCGTCCAGTCCGCTGCAGCTCAGGCCCCGCGTGATGAGCGGCCTCTTTGGGAGTCTCACCTGACGTGGGGGCAGACCCATTGTGAAACACAGGGATCTTTCTCTTTTCCTGAATTTCACAAAAACATATTTTCAGATTTCTATTTTAAGAAAACTATGATAGGATCTTCAATTAGCAGGAACATCAGATTTAATATTGATAAGGTTATCAGTGATCCAAGAAAGAAATGCTTTCTGATACTTCCTTCTTGAACCAATTGCACTTTAAGGGAGTCTAATGTTTTTATTTTTTCTCTAATGTTTTACTAGTATTTTAAGTTTATGATTAGTTTTTTTAAATCTTATATTCTAGTATCAATATACTGTAAAACATATTCATATATACCATGTCAAACTACTATTAGCAAAAGCTAGAATGTGAGTAACCTTCAGCAAAGCATCTACCCTACCAAAGTTTAAAGTATTACTCACATTAACTATTAAAAAATATACTTTAGGCTCAGCGCCTATAGCTCAACTGGCTAAGGCGCCAGCCACGTACACCTAAGGTGGCGGGTTCGAATCCCCAGCCCGGACCCGCCAAACAACAATGACGGCTGCAACCAAAAAATAGCTGGGCGTTGTGGCGGGCGCCTGTGGTCCCAGCTACTTGGGAGGCGGAGGCAGGAGACTCGCTTGAGCCCAGGAGTTGGAGGTTGCTGTGAGCTGTAATGCCACGGCACTCTGCCCAGGGGGACAGCTTGAGGCTCTGTCTCAAAAAAAAAATATATATATACTTTAAAGAAAAAAAAATGCTCTTTCTTTTACAAAAATACACCCCTTAAAATTAAGTAGCCAGAGAGTCGTCAAACATGTTTTCATTAAAATCAACTTCCTTTTACATTTGACTACAAATTCAAGAGTGTTATACTCATAATATAGGATCTTTTCCTTCTCACTTGAAGACAATAAGCTTTTAATTTGTTACCTGAAGAGTTTGCAGGACTAAAAAGACTGAAGGAAGGTGAGAGGAAGGAGAAATGAAGAAAGAGAAAGACAGAGTCGTGTCATCGCAGGAGGTAGGTCCCTTGAGTCAAAGGATTGGCTGAACTAGACTTTTGCTACCTGGTTTACAAGTGTGACATTTACAGAGCAGCAAGACTCATCTACAAAAGTAAGATTACCAGCTTATATCTTAGAGGGAAAGGAGAAAAAATATAGAAAGAGAATTCCTAGAAAACAAAAGTAATGGAAAGCACATTATTATAATCTATAATCTATGGGAAATAGCGAAAGTATTATTCAAGAAAATTAACCAACTGTATTAAAAATAAATGAGAGAAGAAAAAAGAAACATCTTTTATTACAGATGATATGACTAAAAAACAACTATATACAATAAAAGAAGAAAATTAACACAACAAAAAAACATACAGTTGACTCCTGAAGAGGGTGGGAGTTGGGGCACCAATTTATGTGCAATTGAAAATCCCAGGGAACTTTTTGTCTCCCCCAAAACTAACCTACTAGTAGCCTACTGTTGACTAGAATGCCTTACCTACAACAAACAATCCATCAACATATATGTGGTATGTTGTATTACATATTATAGTCTTACAGTAATTCTTACAATAAAGGAAAACTATTATTAAAATCATAAAGAAGAAAAAATATATTTACTATTCATAAGTGAGAGCAATCATAAAGATCACCCCACTCATCTTCACACTGAGTAGGCTGAGCAGGAAAAAGAGGTGGGGTTGGCCTTGCTGTCTCAGAGGTGGCGGAAGCAGAAGAGGTGAAGAGGTGGAGAGGGAGGTGGGAGAAGGAGGTGCACGCTAAGTGTAACTTAATGCAAATACAACACGTCTGACTTTTGAGATTTTTCATTTCTGTAAAAATGTTTCTATACAGTACCAATCCTCCTTCCACCATTGGCTTTAGTTGACTGCCCATGTCATAGAAGGGCCCATGTTTCTGAAGACATTAAAAGCAGTCTTGAATAATCAGAGCCCATCTGCCAGACTGTCTAAAGCCAGTTTGTCTTCTGGCACTGCTTCTCCTCTGTCTTCTTCCTCGTTGTCTGGCCCTGGTTCAGAAGCACTCACTTCCATCAAGTCATCTTCTGTCAATTCCTCTCCTGTGTTAACTATTCGCGCTTAAATTTCTCCAAGATCCATATCTTGAACTCTTCACCTTTTTAGCCATGTCTATAATCCCTTTCGTGATTTCCTTGAGTGGCTCTGTCATAAATCCTGTGAAGTCATGCACAACATCTGGGAAAAGTTTTCTCCATCAGGAATTCATTGTTTCAGGCTTGAGAGCGTTCATGGCTGTTTCTGTAACAAGGATGGCATCTTCAGTGGGGTGATCATTCCAGACTTTATGATAGTCTCTCCATCGAGGTTCTCTTCCACGGCATGACAATCCTTTCCATATACATTATAGGCAATAAGCCTTAAAGGTCTTTATGACCTCCCAACCCAGAGGCTGAGGCAGACATGTTGTATTTGTGGACAAGGAGACTACCTTGATACCCTTGGATATTGAACTCATGAGATTTTGAGTGGTCAGAGCATTGTCCAGTATCGAAAAAATTTTACAAGACTGTCCCTTACTGGTAAGGTACTTCCTGACCTGAGGAATAAAGCAAAGATGAAACCAATCCACAAAAATGGTTGTGATTGTCCAGCCCTTCTTTCTGTGTAACCAAAAGACTGGTAGGTAGTATTTGTCTATTCCAGCGGTTCTCAACCTGTGGGTCACGACCCACAGGAACTGTATTAAAGGGCCGCGGCATTAGGAAGGTTGAGAACCACTGGTCTATTCTATTCATGGACCAGAAGTGAGGACTTTACAGATAAGGGCAGGCCTCATCATAAATCCAAATACATTTGCACAAAACAGAAGAGTTATCCTCTCCCTTCCTGCCTTAAATCCTGGAGCTTGCTTCTCTCCTTTACTGATGAATGTCCTCTGTGGTACTTCTTCCCAAAAGAGGGCACTTTTTTCCTGCATTAAAAAGCTGTTCAGGCAGATAATCCTTTCTCCTCAATGATTTCTTAATGGCATCTGCTCTGGGAACCCATTTGCTCCCTCTTGATCAACAAAAGCTGCTTCTCCTTTACGGTGACACTTTTTAAACCAAACCTCTTTTTAATATTATCAAACCATCCTTTGCTAGCATTAAATTCTCCAGTTTCAGATCCTTCACCTTCCTTTTGCTTGAAGGCGTCATATAATGACACTGCTTTTTCTTGAATCAAATTAATATACTGGTATGCCTTTCTTATAGCAATCCTGCACCCCCATAAAAGTTTCATTTTCAATAAAAGATAAAAAGGTACTTTTCAAAGTTTTACACCTATTGGCATAGCTGCAGCAATAACTTCAAGCATTTCCTTTCCCTTTCTTTTTTGTCTTCTTGAGAAAAGAACCCCCTATATGTTGCCTAGACTAGTCTCAAATGCCTGGGCTCAAGTGATCCTCCCACTTTGGACTTCCAAAGTGCTGGGATTGCAGGCATGAGCTACTGTACCAGTCTCCTTCCCTTTTACGCAATGGTCCACATTGTGTACATGTACCTGGACGTTGCAGGCAACCACAGCTGCAGACTTCAATTTGAGGTCTACCAAGCAATACAACTTTCTATTACAATATCATGACTTTTCTCTGTGGACAGCATTTCCAAGATCACTAGTGGCAATTCATATAGATCCTACAGTATAATTCAAAGTTTAGGAAACTGCACTAAACACAGTGAAAAATACCCAAACAGCTGTGGGTGATCACTTTTTACTGCATGTGTAATTTACTAGAGAGATCAAATGCTCATGTGGAGATAAGTGCCACAGTGTTTCAACATGGACACTTGCATGTTAACCTGCAACACTTAAGTTCACCAGATAGCAACAAGAGGTGGCTACAAAATTATTATGGTAGCATACAAACCATGTACTATAATTTTAGGCACCTCCGATTTAATGCATGTTTATATCGTTTACATTTCTAAGAATGGTGCCACATATCCTATCTGTGTACATAAGTTTTCTCTTTTTATAATAGATTTGTATATATTTTATGGAAATAAATGATAAAATAGAGTAATATTGACATATATTTTATGCATTCATGATATACCTAACTTTTTCTTAATGTTTTCAGTTATTTCTAGGTGTTGTAGTTCATTGGAAAATTCTGTCAAGTTTTTGCAAACCTCCAAATATTTTTTCCATTATGTTTATGGAAAAAATCTGCATATAATGCAAACTGCACAGTTCAAATTCGTGTTGTTCAAAAGTCATGCCTATACATAAAAAATAGCCTTCATATACATATAAAAGCAACAAAGATACAATATTTATAATAACACTCATCAAGAAGCATGTAAGTTATAGGTGAGAAAAACTTGGGTACCATTCTTAAGGATACCAACTTAAAACAGAAAACCGGGGAGACACATGGGAGAGATACATCACGTACTTGGCCAGAAAGCTTCAATGTCATAAGGATATCAATTCTTTCTAAAATCACTAAGAGAATTTAATCATTATCATAAGCTTTCAAAAACCATCAGATTTTATTTTTAGAAATATAAAGCTTATTTTAAACTTTACATAGAAAAATAAATGTAAGGCTGGCACAGTGGCACACACCTGTAATCCTAGCACTCTAGGAGGCCAAGGTAGGCGGATTGCTTGAGCACAGGAATTCAAAACCAGCCTGAGCAAGAGTGAGACCGCCATCTCCATTAAAAACAGAAAAGACAGCTCGGCACCGGTGGCTCAAGTGGCTAATGCACCAGCCACATACACCTAAGGTGGCGGGTTCGAATCCAGCCCGGGCCTGCCAAACAACAATGACGGCTGCAACCAAAAAATGGCCAGGTGTAGTGGTGGGCACCTGGGGTCTCAGCTACTTGGGAGGCTGAGGCAGGAGACTCACTTGAGCCCAGGAGTTGGAGGTTGCTGTGAGCTGTGAGGCCACAGCACTCTACCCAGGGGGATAGCTTGAGGCTCTATCTCAAAAAAAAAAAAAAAAACAGAAAAGACTAGCCAAGCATGGTGGTGCATGCACATAGTCCCAGCTACTTGGGAGGCTGAAGCCAAGAGGATTCCCTTGAGCTCAGGAGTTTGAGGTTGCTGCTGAGTGACAATGACACTCAGGACAACAAAGCAACAGAGTGAGACTTGGTCTCAAAAAAAAAAAAAAAGAAAGAAAGAAAGAACTGTGTAAAGACAGCCAAGGAAACTAAGAGGAAGAAGAAAGCTAAAATGAATCCAGACCTACCAGATATTAAATTATACCAAAGCCTCCAAAATTAAAGAGTATATAATTGATTGATGAACAGAAAGACCAATGAAAAATAAAAGAAATTCCAGAAACACAACCAAATGCAAATACGAGTTTAATGATAAAGATAGTATCACCAATCAAGGGGGGCAATGCTTAACTTTTTAATGAACTGGAACAATCAGGCAGCAATTCAGAAAAAGATAAAGTTGGCTGCCTACTCATATATACCATGATAATACCCAAAGGAACAACGAACAATTTAAATTTTTTTTTAAAAGGTTGCAGAGTGTTATGAACAAAAAATATAATCAGGCATATTCAACCACATCAATTACAGAAATGCAAATTAAAAACCCATTAAAAATATTTGAAATATGGCTAGGCACAGCAGCTCATGGCTATAATCCTAGCACTCTGGAAAGCCAATGCAGGAAGATCACTTGAACCCAGCAGTCTGAGGTTGCTGTCAGCTAAGCTGATACCACAGCACTCTAGCCCAAGGTAACAGAGTGAGACTGTCTCAGAGAAAAAAAGAACAAACAAAACTTGAAAGAGTAACATAAAGCTATCTAAGATTGTCAAATATACAGAAGTTTGGCAACATACTGTGTTACTGGGAAATGGACTCTCATGTATCATTATAGGAGTCTCAAGTTAATATAGAAGGAACTCTGGGGAATTCCCCTTTGAGTCAGTAATTCTATTTCTGGGGATCTAATCCACAGATACACCTGCACAAGACTAAAATGGCATATTAAGTCAGGTCTGGTGGCTCCTTCCTAACACTCTGGGAGGCTAAAGTCGGAGGATCACTTGAGCTCAGGAGTTCAAGATGAACCAGAGCAAGACCCAACCTCTATTAAAAATAGAAAATTTAGGCTCTGCGCCTGTGGCTCAAGCAGCTAAGGCGCCAGCCACATACACCTAAGGTGGCAGGTTCGAATCCCCAGCCCGGGCCCGCCAAACAACAATGATGGCTGCAACCAAAAAATGGCCAGGCGTTGTGGCGGGCGCCTGTAGTCCCAGCTACTTGGGAGGCTGAGGCAGGAGACTCGCTTGAGCCCAGGAGTTGGAGGTTGCTGTGAGCGTGATGCCATGGCACTCTACCCAGGGGGATAGCTTGAGGCTCCGTCTCAAAAAAAAAAAATAGAAAATTTAGACAAGCATGGTGACAGGCACCTACAGTCCCACCTACTCAGGAGGCTGAGGCCGGTGGATCACTTAAACCCAGGAGTTTGAGGTTGCTGTGAGCTATGATGACACCACTACACTCTAGCCAGAGTGACAGAGGGTGACTCCATCTCAAAAATAAATAAACAAATAAACGAAAATGGTAGATGAGTATCATGAAATGATTTGTAACAAAAAAAAAAAAAAAAGACTAAAAACTACCATGATCCAGGAATAAGATAAACTATGCTACATCTATAAATAGAATACAACCCAACTATGAAAAAAGAGCAAGGAATATTGCCATGATTTCTTAAGAGTAGATCTCCAGAATGTACTGGTATAGGGAAAAGGCAAGGTGCAGAACAGAATATATTTAGAATGTTAAATTTTGGTAAAAGGAATACATAAGACAATACATGGTCATACCTCCACATACTGAATGAAAACTAGAAAATAAGAAACTAATCACAAGTGGTTACCCACAGAGCTGGATATATGGCTAAGACAGTAAAGAGGACAAGGCAGGGACATGACTTCTCTACCTCTTTATAAAACAGTTTTAATCTCTGAATCATAAAAATGTATAACTTATTCAAAAAATTTAATTGAGAACAAAGTAGCCCACAGAAGAATGGTTCTAGATTCTTACCTGAGAAGGAACACTTTTTGGTGGCTCTATGCGTATAGAAGGATCCCACTCTCCTGGAGGTAGGACAGTTACTTGATCTAAAAACTCATCAATTCCAGATAAGAGGTCATTTCTGTCTTTTGCTTTATAAGCTACATCATGAAATATCTAAAAAAGAAAAAATACTGAGCAAAAGAATTTTAAAGTTGAAAGAAAATTCTACATATACTAAACTCACTTTGGAAAACATAAGTACGTTCAATATAAAGAAAATTGCCTAACTTTTAGCCCAAGCAGGTGCACCCTACCCTGGGTAACAACTATAAAAGGTAGGCCATTATTTGTATTATCAGATAAATTAACAATAACAAACAACAACAACAACAAAATACAGTGTTAAGATAAAACAATTTTTTAAAAAAGAAGACTGCACATGAGAAATACTCAGTATTCCATTCAGGGAATAAAATACTGTGTATATCATTCTATTATGACATTTACGGGTTGTTTATTCTATGAAAATAATCATGGATACACAAACAATTTCACTTAAATAATTTAATCAATGACAAACACTTAGTGGTCACCTACTATTTGTTAGACTCAATGCTAAGCACTATAGATAGCCCAGTAGAGATAGTCAAGGCAAAGACTCTGTACTCCAGAACCTTTAGTTCTAAGGGAAAATGTAGCAAAACAAGTAATTAAAAATATATGTAATTATAGGCAATGATATATGTTTTTATAAACATAAAGCAGGGTGCAGAAAGGGAGGCTAAAGAGAAAGAACGAAGTGGCCAGGGAAGGTGCCTTAGAGAAGGAAATCTGGACAAAATGAGGGACAAAACCATATAAAGGGTATGACAGAAAAGTACTCAGGCAGAGGAATTAGCAATCCTAAATGACCAGAGGTACTTGTGAGGAACAAAAAGGAAACTACTTTGGCTGCAGGGAGTAGGAACGAGCAGTATTAGGATGTAAGCTTTAAGAAGTACACTAAGAATAGCTCAGGTAGTATCTGTTCAGACAATGGTAAAGAGTATGCATTTAAGTCGCTACCCAAAATGATAAGACACTAGCCTTGTGTGGTGGTTCACTGTTTGAAATGTGGCTCGTGGTTACCACATTGGACATTACTATTCTAGATTTTGTGAACCTACAGAGAATAAAAACTTAGCATTTCATAATCCATTACCAGAAACTATCCACATTCTCACAGACTCTGTAACAGCTGATTATGCTCTATTAAAGTTATTTGATGTTCCTGTATTCCCACCTGGTCTGTAAACTACTCATCCTCAGTGACCAGTGCTTGGTGTATAATAAGCACTTCATAAATAAGCCCAGTGAAGTTTGTTGGTCTTTTTCTTGAGACAGAGTCTCAAGCTGTCACCCTGGGTAGAGTGCTGTGGCGTCACAACTCACAGCAACCTCAGACTATTGGGCTTAAGCAATTTTCTTGCCTCAGCCTCCCAAGTAACTGGGACTACAGGCTCCCATCACAATGCCTGGCTATTTTTTGTTGTTGTTGCAGTTGTCATTGTTGTTTTAGTTGGCCTGGGCAGAGTTAGAACTCGCTAGCATTGGTGTATGTGGCTGGTGCCCTATCCACTGAGCTATGGATACTGCCCACCCAGAGAAGTTTTAAAGGGGATATTGAGGCCAAAGCCATGAATCTGACTAGAGGAGCTTTATATATATTTGGGGGGGGGGGGTGCAGAGTCTTACTTTGCCACCCTGGGTTGAGTACCATGGCGTCATAGCTCACAGTAACCGCAAACTCGTGGGCTCTAGCGATCTTCTTGCTTCAGCCTCCCAAGTAGCTGGGACTACAGGCTTGTGCCACAACACCCAGCTATTTTTAAAAGACAGGGGTCTTGCTCTAGTGCTCTAGCTCAGGCTGGTCTCAGACTCTTGAGCTCAGGAAGTCCACCTTCCTTGGCCTCCTGGAGTACTAGGATTATAGGAGTGAGCCACTGCATCAAGCCTTTGACTATATTTTAAGATGATTACTAATGTGAGCCTCAGCCAACCTCGCAGCAACCTCAAACTCGTGGGATCAAGTGATCCTCCTGCCCCAGCTTTCCAAGTAGCTGGGACTACAGGCACTTAACACAACACTCAGCTAATTTTCTATTTTTAGGAGAGATGGGTCTCACTTTGTTCACCCTGGTCTCTTAACTCCTGAGTTGAGGCAATCCATTTGCCTCAGCCTCCCAGAGTGCTAGGATTATAGGCGTAAGCCACCTTGCCAAGTTTTTGTATAATTTTTTTCGAGGTTTTTTTGTTTTTTTAAAAAAAACGACCAGCCTTGGAGGCGTAATTTGAATCATAACTCAGCCATATTACTAACTAGCCAAGTAATTTTGGGTTTGAGCCACCAACATGTGTCTTAATTTTACTCACTGCAAAATAGGGAAAACAATAGTACCCACTTTATAAGGCTGGTGTGAGTGCCAACCAAGTTAATACACATAAAGTGCTCAGCACAGGGCAAAAATAAGCTTTTATCATGACTGCTTTTGTGGTCATAAAAGTCCATAAATCTCCTTTTTCTAAATTTCTTTTTTTTCCTTTCTTCCCTAGCACTGAGCTTTGATGCCTAAATTTCTTTTTTTTTTAAAATTTAATCTGATAGTTTTATTTTTTTTATTTCAGGCTCCTTTATTCCATGAATATTTACAGAATATCAACTATAAGCAAAACATTGACATAATCATTGAAGATAATATTGGGACAACTATATCAATTTTATGAGGAAACAAAAGCATACTACAAATCAATTATGAGATAAGTGTACTCATTACCACCACTCAGTAAAGTTGTACTACCCATGATAGTAAAATTTTTCTAATTTTACTATCAGGGGTATCCAGATTAAGTAGAATGATTTTGAAGTATTTCTATTTCTACTGCATGATCTGCATTTTTTTTTTAGAAATTATTTTTACTTTTATTTATATATATTAGTCATCTTTTTTTTAGACTTTGGTAAAAACATAATAAGGAAAAAAATTGTTTGCTATTTGTATTTTATCTTGCATATTCTGTAACAAACAAGTATTAAGTGATTATGTATTCAAAAACAAATTGCACAGCTCTTGTTAAAGCTATATTGATAGGTACTTTCTATTTTGGTTGCTGATACAATGTTATCTTTTTTTTCTAATATTATTTTGTAATTCTTTCTTACATAGGAATATAATTGATTTTGTAGTTATTTTGAAGTTAGCTACATTGCTGAATTTTTCTATTGTTTTAGGTAACTTGCAAGTAACTTGGTAACTCAGAAGTTACCAATACAATTGAAATTTTTATTTTTTTTACAAACCATCGGGATTTTTAAGTTATCATAATTGTATTAGCTAGGATCTGCCTAACTTCTTAAAAAAAAAAAAAAGAGTATGCATTTAAATCTAAATATATCATAGGAAATCACCAATGCCATGGTCACAGATGAGGTCCCCAAATGGAAGACGGAAATTTTTTTTTTTT